CCCCCTGCCCCCCTCCGTCCTCCTCCGGGTCCAGGTCACGACTGCATCGGCTGGACCAGCAACACTGTGCGGAGCCAACTGTGCCTAACGGTGGGGGGCTGCCGGCCAGGCCAGGACTGCCAGCAAGCTTTGAACGGTTAACACACACACACACACAAAATACACACAAACTTTGTAAATTGTTACATACAGGTTCACAAAATGTTCGATGGGGAAAACCTGATTTTTTTTTACCCTGCTCGGTCATGATAATTAATCATATGATGTAAGTATGGTGTAAAAATTAAAACGGTGAACACAAAAGCGCGCGCAACGAGACTTGTAGATAAAAGCCCCTCGCGGCTCGAGCACAAAAGCCCGGCTGGCCGGCCGGACCGCCTGCCCGGGGTCCTTACCCGCTGCCTCGGCTAGTGCATTCCTCGGGGAGCCCCCCCCCCCCCTCCCTCAGCCTGCTCCTCCTCCAGCTGATGATGGTCATTACAGCGCCTGTACTGTAAAGATGGGGCTCTCGCTCGCGCAGGTCCGGCGGCGCGGCGGCGGGGAAGGGGCGGGCGCGCGGCAGGCCCCGCGCAGCACCACAGACACACCGGCGGTGAAAAAATTAAAAACCCCAAAAGGGGGAGGGTGTGTAGTATGGGTACTTACATCCCCCCGAGAAGGAGGAGGAGGGCCGGAGGACGGACAGCGCAGAGGGCTCCCAACAGTAAAATCAATCTCCCCTTCACTGCAATCGCTCTCAGCCAATCGGGCGGGCCGTAAAAATCGCCTGGCCGTCTGCTGATTTACGCCGTCGTCGTCGTCGGGGTCGTCCCGCGTGGCGCGCCCCCCTGCCACTCCTCCTCCTCTTCCTCCAGCAGCAGCGGCAGACTTCCCTTCAGGGCGGCCAACTTGACTTGTCCTGGCGCGAGAGCCGCTCGGGCGTGCCAACTGAGCTGCGGCGGAGCCTGATGCCCGCGCGGCCGCGACACGAGTTTGCTCTCCCTGGGGCGGCGCGGTGCGAGGCGCGGCGGAGGCTGCGGCCGGGAGGTGAGGAGAGGAGCGGCCACACTGAATTAGTAGCTCGGCCTACCACAATGTGTCGCGCCATGGGAACCGGAGCTATAATATGTTCATCGGGCTCCGATAAAATAATTGGTTTTAAAATATTTTCTTTGCTCGCGCTGTACGACACACATACAGATCTAAAGGGGCATAGCGTGCGCTGCCCTGCCCTGCCCCGCCCCGCCACAACCACGCCCCCTTTGGCCCCGTCCCCTTCTTACCCTTTTCCTTCATTGATTGGAATTAGCGCCGGAGCCCCATTGTTTGCGTAGAAGCGTCTGAGAGGAATGCTAAGCACGGCCGGGGCACATTTCACTCAGTGGCGGGGCGGGGCGTGGCGGGGCGCGCAGCCGCCAGCATGTTCGGCGCGGTCGCCGCGCGCCGGAGAAGCAGAAGGAGCAGGAGCAGAGGAAGGGAGCGGGAGGAGAAGGAGGCGGAGGTTTTTTCGGAGAAAGGGCAAAGAGGGGAGTCTCAGTACAGAGTCGAGGCCTCTCCGCGATGATTTCGCTGTGCGCGGGATGAAGGCCATCTCTGTTGCTGCTTTCCCGAAAACCCGTCCTCTATCTGCAGTGCGCCGCCGCCGCCCCGCCCAGCCCCGCCCCGCGGTGGCGCCCAACGCCCACATGCCTCTGCT